TCTCTGCTTCTGTCTCTGGCAAGTGTGTGCATCTTTTGGAAAAAAAAAAAAAAATCCAGGACCAGAGACCAGCAGATGGCATAATGGTTACATCACTGGACTCCCACAGAGTCGACTACGGTTTGAGTCCTGGACCCGGCAGTTTAAAAATCACACAGGTACATGTGCGTGCGTCTCCAAAATCATGAGAGGAGAATGGAGGAGAAGGGATTATGGCGTGGCCATTCCCCCTTGGGGGGCGATTTCTTTCTCTCCATCTCTCCTGTGAGCTCATGCACCTTATAGTAAAAATATCACTAAAAAAATTTTCAGGGCAAGCAGATGACATAACGGTTACGTTGCTGGACTCTTACATGGCCCACCGTGGTTTGAGCCATGGACTGGTGGCTTGAAAATCACACTGGGGGGGTGTGCATGTGTGCCCAAGATCCTGGGAAGAGAATGGAGGAGAAGGGATTGCGCCGTGGCCATCCCCCCTGGGGGGTGATTTCTCGCTTTCTGTCTCTCTGTCTCTCTCTGTCTGGCGAGCACATGCACCCTATAGCAAAAAACCTCTTTAAGAACAGAGAATTATTTTATTTACCTTTATTTATTTATTTTAATTTAACCAGAGAGAGACAGAGAGAGAGAAAAAGAGAGAAGGAAAGTGAGAAAGCAAGCTGCCAGGTCCAGGACTTGAACCGTGGTCAGCCATGTGGGAGTCCAACGCCCTTAACCACCATGCCACCTGCCAGCCTTGTTATTACTCTTTTGCTATTGAGTCGTAGGAGTTTCTTATTTTTTTTGGAAACAAATCCCTTATCGGATGTAAGTGGTCCCCAATTTATGATGGTTAGACTTAACATTTATTAACTTTATAGTGGCGAGAAAGCAATAGAAATTTAGTAGAAACCATGCCGCAAGTACTGGTACAACCATTCTGATTTTCACTTTTGGTATGGTATTTAATAAATTACATGAGATAGGAAAGTGGGGAGAGTCTTCCAAAAGTTCACAGAGGACCAGCAAGTGGCATGGTGGTTAAGGCACTGGATTCGCATATGGTCGATAATGGTTCGAGTCCTAGACCTGGTGGTATGAAAGTCACACCAGGCACGTGTGCGTGTGTACCCAAAATTCCAGGGGAAGAACGGAGGAAAAGGAATCGTAGTAGGGCTCCCCTTTGGTAGGGGTGTTTTCTCATTTTCTCTCTGTCTCTCTCTCCTGTGAGCGCACATATCTTATGGCGAAAACCTAAAAATAAAAATAAAAACTGGGCCAGCCAAGTGGCATGGTGATTAAGGTGGCTGGATCCCACATAACGGGCCATGCAGTTAACTCATACCTGGCAGTTTGAAGAACACACCAGGCACCTGTACGTGCATGCCCAAAATCCTGAGAGGGGGGTTGCAGCATGGTCACCCCTCCCAAGGGAGAGCTTTCTCACTTTCCCTCTCCCTCTCTCTTTGTCTCTCTCTGGCAAGCTCATGCACCCTACAGCAAAATTAAAGGGGCCAGCGGAGGGTGTGATGGCTATGTTACCGAGCTCCCACATGGTCAACCCAATGTTTAGGTCCTGCACCTGGTGACTTGAAGATCATGCAGGCAAAATCCTGACAGGAGAATGGAGAAGGGGAATTGAGGTATGATCATCCCCATGGCGGGGGTGGGGGGTGGGGGGTGGGGGGGGTGATTTCTCACTTTCCTTCTCTCCGTCCTCTCTCTGTCTCTCTCCCTCCTTGGTGAGCACACATACTCTAAAGCAAGATACTTTTTAAAAAATTAAAAACAAAACAACAACAACAAAAAACTATGCATAAATTTCAAAAAAAATTTGCATCAAAATAAACTTGTACTAGGGTCAGTGGGGTGGGGGGCACAGTGGTTGGGGTACTGAATTGCCTCATGGCTGACCACAGTTCAAGTCCTAGACCAGGCAGCTTGTTTCTCACTCTCTCTCTCCCTGATGACTATAGCAAGTTAAATAACAATAATAAATGAATTTGTTTAATTCTAAAATAAACTTGTACTAACTTGTTATAACATGTCCAAACAGAGTCTAGTCTGAGGCACTAAGAAGAATAATAGTGGGACCAGCAGTTGGCATAATGGCTATGTCGCTGGACTCCTATGTAGTCAGCCATGGTTTGAGTCCCAGACCTGGTGGCTTAAACTCATGCTGGGCACGTGTGCGTGTGTGCCCAAGATCCCGAGAGGAGAATGGAGGAGAAGGGATTGCAGCGTGACCATCCCCCTGGGGGGTGATTTCTCGCTTTCTGTCCCTCTGTCTCTCTCTTTCTGGCGAGTGCACGCGCCCTATAACAAAAACCTCTCCAAAAAAAAAAGAAAAAAGAAAGAAAAAAGAAAAAGAATAGGGCCAGCTCCATAGCACAAAAACTCTGAGCTGCTGCTCCAGAGATGCCAGACCCCACATGGCCAGCAAGGTTCAAATCCCTCAGCAGGGCTGCCCAAACAGTGGGCATGTGAGGGAACAGGACACCTCAGCTCGAGGGCTGGAGGGAGAGGATCACCAGTGTGACCAGACCCTGTGAAGGATGCTCATCTCTATCTCTCTCTGTCACATGTACGCACTCTATCATAAAGAAAGAAATAAAAGGGGAGCCAGCCCGTGCCCTGCTGGGTAAGAGAGCCAGATCCCATGTGGCTCACAGTGGTTCAAATCCTGACTAGTGGCTTGAAAAACACACCAGGTGCATATGCATGTGCCCCAAATCCTGACAAGATGGAGAATGGAGGAGAAGCGCTTTCCGCATGACCATGACGCATTGGAAGGCACTTCCTCTTTCTCTCTCTCCCTCAGACCCTCTGACAATTAAGGGGGGGGGAGAATAATAAGAATAAAAGGATAATTGTTCTCTTTTGGGAAAAAATACACAGCTCACTGACGGCGCTTTCCTCTAGGACATGGGGGCTGGGTGTCGGGACCCTCCTCCCACTCTACACCCTCTTGCTCCATCTGGATTGGGTCATCTATCAGGTCATTGCAGTAATAAAATGAGGGGAGCATCCGTATTCTTTCCAGTGAGCAGTGTTTATAGGTTCACTGAAAATACTGCGTCCGTCGGTCTGATCAGCTCAAACGCAGCCCCTCATTTAATCCACAATATTTATTATTATTATTATTATTATTTTGCCATAGAGTGTATGTGCTCACCAGAGAGAGACAGAGGGAGAAAGTGAGAAACCCTCCCCCTTCCCTCAGGGAAAGACAGCCAAGTTACCTCCTCCATTCTCCTCTGGGGATTTGGGTTATGCATGCACATACACCTGGTCTGGTTTTCGAGCTGCTGGGTTCAGGACTCAAACCATGCAGTCGGCCACATGGGATCCAGTGCCTTAATCTCCATGCCACCTGATGGCTCGATTGAGTTTTTATAAACATTTCCTATGTGTCCAGCATAGTTCTTGACGCTGGGATACAGCAGTGAACAAACGTGATCATTGCTCTCCCGGGAATTACATTCTAGTGAATGTAGAAAGACACACAGCAGGCCAGCAGATAACAGTGGTTAAATTTATTATTTATAATAATAAATTATTATTTTTTAATATGCCATAGGGCATGTGTGCACACCAAAGACACAGAGACAGACAGAAGGAGCGAGAGAGAAAGTAAGTAAGCCATCAGGTAAGGGACTCAAACTGCAGTCAGCCATAAATGTGGTTAAGGAGCTGGATTCCTATGTAGTCAACCTGGGTTCAAGTCCTGGACTTGGTGGCTTGAAACTTATGCCAAGCGCATACGCACGTGAACTCAAAATCTGTCTCTCCGGGGAAACCAGCAGTTAGCGTAATGGCTATGTTGCTGGACTCCCACGTAGTCGACCGCGGTTCGTGTCCCGGACCCGGTGGCTTAAAACTCACGCCGGGCGCGTGTGCGTGCGTGCCCAAGATCCCGAGAGGAGAATGGAGGAGAAGGGATTGCGGCGTGACCATCCCCCCTGGAGGGTGATTTCTCGCTTTCTGTCTCTATGTCTCTGTCTGTCTGGCCAGCGCACGCGCCCTATAGCAAAAAACCTCTCCAAAAAAAAAAAAAAAAATCTGTCTCTCCGTGGAGTGCATGTGCCCTATAGAAAAAATTTCTCTCAAATTTTCTTTAAAAACATACATTAAATAAATACTAATTATTCAAAAAAAGAGACACATAACTGCAAAGTCAATAAGTTAGACGGCACAGAAGGGGAAAAGCCAGAACCGGGAAGGAGGAAGTGGCGGGTGTATGGGAGGCTGCCTGTTGAACAAGGTGGTCAGAGAGGGTGAAGCCAGAGACGAGGTGAGACGTGAGCTAAGAGCTCCCTGGGAGAACAGAGTTCCGGATGGAGGGAACAGCCAATGCAGAGGCTTCAAGCAAGGCCATGGCTGGTTTGAGGAGCAGCGGGGAAACTAGCCAGGCTGCAGAAAAGCGGCCGAAAATTTAAAAGCAGCTGGAGTTAGGGAGGTGAGAGGGCGACCAGAGCCTTGTGAACCGCTGGGTTTTCAGTTTCCACCCCAGGCCAGATGAGAGCTACTGGAGGGTCTTGAGCAGAGGGTCAGCCTGGCTGCTGAGCGGAGAGCAGACTGTAGTAGGCAAGGGGTTGGGGGGACCTGGGGGGAGCCTAGGCTTGACCAAGCGTGGTGGCAGTGGAGGTGGTGGACATCAGATTCTGGAAATAGTCGTGAAGGAGAACCGACAGGAATAGGCGATGGGTCGGATGTAGGGTTTTTAAAAAAGTTAAAGGTCCAGAGCGGCGCCAAGGTTTGGGGCCCGGGCAGCTGTGCGGACAGAGCAGCTACCTGGGCTGGGCAGACAGGGAAGCAGGCGCAGTAGGGAGGTGCAGTTAGGGGGGCGAGTTCGGCCCGGACAAGTTAAAGTTAGGACCGGATGAGTATTTTCGGCGTCGGGGAGACAAGTCGGGAGAGTCCTGCGGGACACCTACGAACTCGCAGTCCCGGAGCCGGGGAGGGGCGGGGGCTGCGCCGGGCGGGCCAGGTCACGTGACGGTGGGCTGGCGCCCCCTGGTGTAGGAGGGTGAACGGCGATGGCGGAGGTGGCTGGGGCGCTGGAACGCGGGGAGCCGGGCGAGCCCCGGCGTCTCGCCTTGTACTTCTGCGGGAGCATCCGCGGCGGCCGCGAGGACCAGGCGCTGTACGCGCGGATCGTGTCGCGGCTGCGGCGCTTCGGGGTGGTGCTCACCGAGCACGTGGCGGCTGCGGAGCTGGGCGCGCACGGTGAGATCGCCCGGCGCCAGGCTGTGGGCAGGCGGGGGGGGGGCCCG